ATTGTCCATCAGTGGTAGGTCTTACAAATTTGAATAAGCTCCCTAGGTGTTTAAATAATTTCATTGAGAATTGTTTTTATGATTTGCAAGAATTTTACAATTCGTAATATGTGATACAGCTCCTCCCGATTCCACTTCACTACTCCAAAAGAGTAGAGTAAGATTGGAACGACAAGCATATTTGTTGCAGCAACTTTGTTCTTCCCCGACAGTTCCGATGACCAGAACTGTCGAAGTTTGTGCTGATACTTGCCGCGGAGAGACTTTTTCGCTGCTGTTACCTCTTGTGAGTGGCGTTGTTCCACCCCGAGGTAAGTATACGTCTCTCCAACATCCAGATGGTGTAAAATGCTTCCATCTACGAGCTGCACATCCTCTCCGTAGTCCCCGCATCGTCTTCTTTTGAGATAGACCATTGCACATTCGTCTATCCCGAATTTCATACCGATAGCATGCATGTACTCTTCCACCACCCTCAAGGACTGATGGAGATCCTTCTCCATCAGGCATAAAGTTTGAGATCATCCATATAAAACAAATAGGTGACCTTTTGCCTCCGGTTTCCGGGGGTGCCACAGTTATACCCTCGAGTATTTCTGAGCGCAACGGATAATGGCAATAGTGAGATGCAGAAGACAAGGGGACTGAGGGAATCACCCTGAAATACACCCCTTCTGAAAGTGACCCATCCTGTTTGGACTCTTGCTTGACCAGATGTTATGGTGAAGCGAATTCGCCAAAGTGGTATCAGTTGTTCAATGCATCTCACTATTTTGTCGGGTACGGCAAGGCATCTGAGCAAATGCAAGATGAGTTCATGCGAAATTGTATCAAATGCCTTACGGTGATCGATCCTGACCATAGAGAGGTTACGCTTATATTGCATCGAGTCCTGCGTTACACATCTATCGATGAGCAGGTTCTCTTCACATCCAGCGACTCCTCTCTTCGACCCTCTCTACTCATATATCCGTTCAAACACTTGGTCAACTGCGGTGAGTATTCGTGTGTATAAGGTGCTTGTAAACAACTTAAAACACAAATTCAAGCACGTTATTATTCTTATTATTATTATTATTTTCATCGTAGTGTGCGCTGGTCAGACCCTATCCCCCGAAGCCCCGATACATTCGGGAGGGCGCGCCAGCATTATCAACCAATGACCACTCCCCACACCGTGGGGTAAAAGATCATTGGGTCCGAGAATCATGTGCCCTGCGCAAGCGCAGTGAGCCAAGAATGACAGCCTTCTGCATCTATGCGGCTAAGCCGGTATGATTTCAAGGTTCGAGAGTAGACTGGGCATCATTTCACCAAGGACTCCAATAATCAGAACAACCATCTTCACAGAGTGATCTGGATAGAGTCCGCAGTTCGAAGAGAAAATCTCGATATTTTATCAGTTTTTACTCCTCTTTTCGTACGATATTCGTCTTGCCAGGAGCCGAAAACTCCACGACAAACATCGTTTTGCTCTGGTGGTCAGGCTTATTAGCTTGTATGAGTCTGAGGGTTCCCCACAACGGATTCAATGTCCCCCAGAGCGTAGGGCAACACTGGTGTCTCGTAAATACCGTAAGAGTGCCGTAAATGGTAATGTAGCACTCTTAGAGCCGCGTTATGTCGATGGATATAGGCCGAGACCGCATATGATGGACATGCTGATAGCAAGTGCATTAGGGTTTCGGGCGCCCCGCGGCAGGCCCTGCACCTTGTGCCAGGAACCTCTATACCCATCATGCGACTACGGTATATGGTGTTATTGGCATGTCATTGTGTAACAATCCGGTAGATAATATATTTCGATATGTTTGGAGTACAAATCGAATACTTGTATAATTCAATGGTCATATAAAAGTAGTTGTTTCGAAAGTATATTTTTCTTCCAGTTTATGTCTCAAAGATACTTCTTTGCATGACGCACATCATTGTGAAGAATTTATTTTGAAATAATATGTTTCCTTCCTTTCTTTGAAAAATTTTCAATTTTTTTTTATTCTATAAAAATAAAGTAGATACAACTCGTTTGTAACACGAATGAATTGCGTGCTTCATCTTATAATCTATCGAGATTGGTGCTGAAGAGGCAATAAGGCAAGTGTCTCATTTATTTATTCATTTATTTATTCAAAATTTGGGATACAAACAGGTGAATACACATAGAAGCATCCACTGATAGTAGTGGTTACAGAGATACACAGTGTCAACAGATACAAGAAAAAATTTAAATTAACCAATTATTTTTACTATGTGTTGAATATTCTTTTCATCGTTATTTTAAAGGAATTCAACGTAATAGAGAAAACATTTACATTACTACAATATTTGTTCAAAGAACCGCACTAGTAATTGGGGAGTTTTTCCCAAATTCGTGGTGAAATTTGGACTGGCAAGTGATTTTCTGTTCCTAGTGTTCCTTTGAGGAACGTGATGAAAAATCGTTGATACTAGATTGGGTGAGTCATTACAGTTATAATTTTATAATTAAAAACTAAGTCGGTTATTATCCTTCGTTGTTCTAGAAGCTGTATTTTGTAATGAGATCGAATTTCGCTAATGCCAAGTGTTACATAAGTCTTCGTTATTTTGCAAATCTGTTCTAGAGTCTTTCTAATCGTAATTTATGTATATTATAATGTGGGCTCCATAGGACACTTCCGAAACAAATGCATAGTAAATAGATTTGATTGCTGCCTCGTTGTTGAAGTCTTTGCATATTCTGCAGAAAAATCCCAAGGTTTTGCTGCAGGAATTTATTACATAATCCAAATGAGAATTGAAAGTCATTTTGATATCAAAATAGATTCCAAGATCTTTAATTTGGTCTACTCTGTTAATAATATAATTGCCCAGGGAGTATTGAAAATGTATCGGTATGTTGCTTCTGCAAAAGGATATGCATGCACATTTATTAATATTGAGTTTCAATTTATTGAGGTAGCAGTATTCTAAAAAAGCATTGAGGTCTTCCTGAATTTTTGAGCAATCTCTAATCGTCGTTACTTCTCTTAAGATTTTCAAGTCATCAGCATACAATAGTAGGTACTTGTGAATGCTTGAAACAATATTTCAAATAATTTATAAATACTAGAAACATTAATGGACCCAGCTGTGAACCTTGAGGGACTCCCGAGGTTATCACAAATGGTGCAGATCTGTATACATTTACGCTCACTAGCTGACTGCGATTGTGAAGGTAGGATGAAAGCCATCTATCTCCCTGTATACCAATCCCAGCAAGTTTTGAAATAAGAAGGTTATGGTCGACTTCATCAAATGCCTTACTGAAGTCAGTATACAATGAGTCCACCTGTGCTCGATTGTCTAATGCAGTTGAAATGTAGTCGGCATATATTACTAAATTGGTTTCTATGGTCCTCTTGGAGAAAAAACCATGCTGGCGTTCTATGATTGATGACTTGATATAATGAAACATAGAGTCATAAACGATGCTTTCGAACAATTTGCTGAAAATGGACAGTTTACTGATACCTCGATAATTTATTACTGAGTTTCTATTATCAGAGTTTTTATAAATCTGGACTAGGAGAGCAGTTTTCCAAACCTCTGGGAAAGCACCAGACTGTATGGATTTGTTGAATAAGATGCTCAAGGCATAGTATAGAACAGAGGCACAGTTTTTAACGAAATATGCTGGGTAACCATCGGTCCCAGCACCCTTATTCACATCGAGTGACTTCATTTTCTCTAATATGATTTCTGGAGTGAACTCTATTGAATTCAACAAATTATTATTGCTGAACTGAAGAGGAACATGATATGTTTGCTGACAGGGCTCGTAAACGCTGCAAAAATATGTAGCAAATAGGTCGCACATACTTTCACCATTTTCAGCAAACGTATCGTTGTAGCTGATTTTGTTAGGAATACCTACATCATTTTTACATGAAGTTACATATTTCCAGAACTTTTTGGGACACGTTTTAATTTTGTTTTGGATATTATTTGTAAAATTTTTATAATCATTGAACAGAATTCTGAATTCCTCATACCTCAGAATTCTGAATTCCTCATAGTAATATCGATTTTTGGTGTATATTCGTGGCAAATGAATTTCATTGTATCGGTTCGTACTTATATAATCCAAAACATGCTGTCTGGTACCCTCTTCTAATATTTTATAAAATACAGAAATTCCCTGATCGACTGATAGATTGGAAAAATGCTCATCCCAGTTATGATTCAGGAAGAAATTACTAAGCTCGTTATAATTACCTCTTTTGAAATAATGAAAATTCGGAATTGCTCTATCAAGTACTTTAATTCTTGGACAACTAATTTAAAATTCAATTGGTGGATGATAGGAATTAGGGTGTACTAATGCCATATGACTTTTTTCTAAATTTGTCACTTGGATTTGCAAACAAAAGAGTAAATCTAATATTCTATTATCTACATTTTTCACACTATTATATTGAGAAAATTCACCAAATGATAAGAGGTGAATCAGAGGAGAATTGGTGTTATCAGTGTTCGTTGGAACAAAAAAAGTGTTACATTCAGTGGGAACCCATTCAATATATGGAAAGTTAAAGTCTTCAAATATAAGTATCGGATCACCTGTAAATTCATTAAGATTTTGTTGAAGTTTTAAAGCAAAACACGTTCTTGCGTAGTAATTCCTGGGTGGTAAATAAACACAGCAAATATGTACCTTGAAACTATTGTCGTCGTTGAAGATAGCGATCCATAAATCTTCTGCTTCACTTTGGAATTGTTCTCGAACAACTCTAATTTGTTTTCGAACACCTATTAGCACACCCCTTCCAGATTTTTTTGCATCAGAACAAGAGGCACTTTTCCGATCACGCCGAAAGAGATTGTACTGAGACACATCAAAAACTTTGGAGTCGCAAATTTCATTAAATAGGTTAGTTTCAGTTATCAGATAAAGATCAGCCAAAATATTAAATGTATTGAGTTTAAATTTCGTCAGTTTCGAACGTAATCCATTAACATTCTGTCCGTATATCATTAACTCATCCATGGAAAGAGTAACTACTATAGGAGACGTGATCTGTAATCGTGAAGCACAATTTACATTTTATTGAGTCTTGATTTTTTATGGCTATTATTCTGGAAGAATCAGACTGTCTACAGAAAATTACACCATATTTCACCCAGACATACTTGTATTCCTTGTTTTTTGCTGCTAGGCTGACTTCCTTAAACAATATTTTGTTTGCTGAAGTTAAATGCTCGATGATATAGAATGCATCTGAAATTCCATCCAAAGGCATTTTAGGGGAACTACCATTAGCGATACGTTTGGTCTTGACTGCCATTAAGAATCGCTCTTTTTCTCTCATCGATGTAAATCTAACGATTATATTTTTTGCTTTGACATTAGGGGAGTTGTGGTTCACCTTAACTCTGTGAACATAGTCGATGGCAGCGGGCCTGACTTCGTTATCAATATATATCCCAATTTCTTTGTTATTCTTTTCAGGGACACCCTGTATCTTAATATTATTTGAGCGGGCGGCCTGATCTAGGTCATTTATTTTCAACTGACGGGTCTCCATATCTTTTTTTATTACTTTGTTTTCATTGAAAAATTGATCGGTGTTTTTGATATAATCATTGAGTCTTGAGAGTTCCTTCTCAAAGTCAGATATTTTGTTGCTACAAAAATTAACAGACTCTAGAAGCAAAGCCTGTTGTTCTCGGATCTGTCTTAAGTCGACACGGATTTCATCCAAAGCATTCGGAGCAGAGTCACCGAACCTCTGAGCATCAATCATTGGCTGTGAATTCAACAATGCTGCTACTCCGACTGTTATTCGGGGACGACTTCGGCGATCCAAGAATGTCCATGAAACACCTTCCGTTCGTAGGCTATCGAGCTGATTGCCAACAATATTAATACACTGCCCATGATAAAACCGAGCACAAAAACTTCCACACTGTAAACCAGGGTTTTTTCGATTCACCGATTCATTGCAGACTTTGCATAGTTTGTCGGCCATTTCCAGCTTAAAGAAGATGATAAGCCAAGATTTAACTTCACTCAAATTAATCACCGAAATTGAATAGGTACCTACATAGGTACGAAATCAAAATTATTATCAACTTTAATCGTGCAAAATAGAAATATCGATGATTTCGAAGCATCGGAAGATTTCTATATTATTTCTATGAAAAGAAGTAAAAAGCGAAAAACCTTATTATTATTTCATACAAAAAAATTAATTCTCTATACCAATCACATGATGTACATAAAACAATAAGGTGAGTACTTTCATTTGTGTCATTCTTGAGAACAACATTCAAATCATATTATGTAGGTAATTAAAAACGGGTTCACGTCTCAAAGTAAGTTCTTTTATATGTTGAATGTATATGATCGAATCGGCAGATACTTCATTTACTGGACAATTTACAAAACCGTGGAAGGAATACTGTTGAATGTAATTGAATTGTAATTGAATTCTCACTAACTCCTGTAATTTAGGTAAATGTTTTCATTCAATTCCATCTGCCTAGAAAATTCTTTTCACAATTTGTCGCGTAATACTTGAATGGAACTTCAAATGATATGCATTTGTCTGGAAGTGGAAATATATTTCATTTAGAAGCGACCCACAATATCTTGAGAATCAATATCGCATTGTTCTTGTTTTGTATTTACTGAAACTGAGTAGGGGCCACTGTTCAAATGAAAGAACTGCTCCTTTATTTTCATTTTTATGAAACTAATGAAACGCGGCAAATGAAGACTCAAAATCAATTTCAACGTTTCTTATGAACTCAGAAAATCAATTCAATACAGACAGTGGTAGCACCTCAACATTCATTTGTTACTTTCTTATTAGTCAGTGGGCTATGCTTGAAGACTGGCAGTAAACAAATCTAAAGCAAATGAACTTCAAACGTTACTGATTGCATATGCC